TAATGGGAAATTTCCATGTGGGTAAATTGTAGTTGCTAATCTGGGGCAGCCCTTGGTCCATGAAACCCCTTCGAAGCTCCCAAACCTACGTGGAAATCATTTGAGTGAAGAGAAATCTATAGACATTCCATGGGACAGGCATCATTTATGTGGAACCATTATAGGTATGTCTCGTTTCATAAGAATTCCATATTCATACCTCCTTGTATGGAATGTTATGTGGATGAGCGCCAGTATATAGAAATGATGTGGGTAGCATTTATTCTGTAGGGGGGGGGGGGCGGGAACAACTTGCAGGTGTCCCTCCTTACGTGGAAATTCTATGTGGGTGCCACAATTGGGTATTCTCATTAAATGACAATTCTATATGCGTGTGCTCCAAAATTCATTCGTTGTGCAGAACCCCACACCCGCCCCCCCCAAGACCATCCTTCCTGAAGTAGAAACGTGTGAATACCTTATTCAATTACCTCTCCTTAGGAGGAACCACCCTGGAGATTTTTTTCCTTGGTATATGGAAATCTCCTGTAGGAGTTCCTACGTGGAATGGCCACAAAAGGTGGTCTTACCTGGAAGCTGGCTCGGGCAGCAGGGGGGTGACACAGCCCCTGAGCCCCGCCCCCACCCCTGCCCCTGCAGATCCGTGCAGAGGACCGCTTCCTGCGCACAGAGCAGGGCTTATTGCTTCGTGCCCTGCAGCTCGGTGATCGCGGCCTCTACTCCTGTACGGCCACTGAGAACAACTTCAAGCACGTCGTCACGCGAGTGCAGCTGCACGTACTGGGTCGTGAGGCCGTCCATGCTGCCCTCTTTCCCCCTCTGGCTGTGAGCGTCCCTCCACCCCCTGGCGCATTCCCCTCCACACCTCCTTATCAGGAGCTGGCCCAGCTGCTAGCCCAGCCAGAAGTGGGCCTTATCCATCAGTACTGCCAAGGTTACTGGCGTCATGTGCCCCCTAGCCCCAGGGAGGCTCCTGGGGCACCCAGACCTCCTGAACTCCAGGACCAGAAAAAACCTCGGAATCGACGGCATCACCCTCCAGACACATGAGGCCAACTACCTGAGCCCTGCATTGGGCCAGCCTAGCCCTCATCCCTTTTAATATAAAAGATATATATATATAAATATAAATATAAAAAAATCTATATTCTATACATACCCTGCCCCTGCAAAGACAGTATTTATTGGTGGGTTGTATATAGCCTGCCTCTGTGGCAGCATCATCCAGAACTTCAGACCCATTGTTGGTCAAAGACGGCAAAGAACTGAGCCCACCCAATCAGGCCCAGCAAGTTGGCAGAGGCCAAGCCAGGACCCCACCCACTGCAAGTCCTCAGACTCTGCCGGAAGTCTGCATGCTCAACCGCCATTGCCGAGATCTACAGAACACAAGGAGGTTGTGACCCCCCTACTTGCGGGAGGCACAAACCACATACCTTGGCTGATGCGTGTTGCTTGCTGTGCTGTGGCTTAAGCACAGATAACCAGGACTGCTTGGGAGTCTGGGGATGGGGGCTCAGGGTATCCAGAGAAGGGAAGAAGGGGGCTGTCAGAGGATGCTGAGCCCTGCCTGGGTTGAGGCCTCAGTCAAGGCCAGTCCTTCCCAGGTATTTATTCTCTATTTATTGGAGACAGGAGGAGAGGAATCCTGCCCGAGCGGGGCAGGGCCTTCAGCTCCTTGTCCCCTGCCTCACTCTACCTCCTTAGCTTTCCTGTGCCACTTTAACTCAGTGACTGGGAGAACAGCAGTGGGGGGAGCCACATGCAGGCAGGGCTGAAGGGAGCCCTCAGTTCTGAGGGGAGACAAGCCATGGTGGAGGCCTGGGCCTGCAGGCTCCTCTTCCCCCATGCACCCCGCCCCCCCCCCTGCCCTGCAGAGCTCTCTTCTACCCACCACTTCCAGTGATGGGCACAAATAGCTCTGGAAGCAGTTGGGTAGATGAGTGGGGGCTCCTGGCAGCCCTCTGCTGCCCAGGCCACAGGTGTCCTTGGGTTCCATCTTGCTAATAAACACTGGCTCTGGGACTAGACTTTGGTTTCTCTCCTTGGTGATGGTGGAGGGGAGAGGGGGTTAGGCCCACAATTAGTGGGCAAGGGGGCACTGGGAGGGGATGGAATGGCCCCACTTAGATAGTATGGAGAAATGTGATGACACAAGCTTGTAATCTGCAACAGTTATGAGTCTGAGGTAGGAGATTGATGAGTTCAAGGCCAGCCAGGGCTGTATATTGAGACCCTGCCTCAAAATAATCCCGCCAGGCACTGGTGGCTCACATCTATAATCCTAGTTAGCAGACTGAGATCTGAAGATTGTGGTTTGAAGCCAGCCCAGGCAGACATAAATCCAAGAGACTTACCTCCAATTAGCCGGCAAAGTATTTGGAACTAGAGGTGCATCTTAAGTGGTAGAATGCCAGCTGTGAGTGGAAAAAGTCAAGTGAAACCATAAAGCCTGCAATTTAAAGTGCTAGTATGGGTTAACACACACACACACACACAAGACCAAATAAATGCAAACAACAATAAACAGTATAGAGAAAACAGGTGTGGGTTAACAAGTCTTGGTTCATTCCCACACTATCCTAGCAGTGTGAAAGGCTGCGAAGACTTCTGGGACCCACCTACAATGTGGGGTGATGGTTTGGGAATGGATGGAGCCCAAAGACTGAAAGTGGTACAGATGGCTCAACCTCACTCCTCACCCAAGAAGTTGAACATCAAAGTTACCAGCCTATGGTTGGAACCAGTGTCTACATCCCACACAACCATTCAGTGTCTGAGGTCCTGGCACCCCCTTGTGGTTTCTTGAGTCTGCAGCAGAATTAAGGACTGAAGGCCATCCGGTTTCAGGCAAGCAATCCGACTAGAAGAGAATCTTGAGAGCCTGAGGTAAAGTGGGATGAAGAGAGCTCAGCACTCAGCTCAAGCTGAACCTCTTCTATCAGTGTGCTCTACCTGAGCAGGGCTCTCCACCCAGAGCTGAGGCAGGAAAGCTCTCAGGTACCCACGAAGCAGTTCCTAGAACAGCAGTGGACAGAACAGAAGATGGGTGCTGGTGGTTCACATCTGTAATCCTGGCTGCTCAGGAGGCTGACATCTGAGGATCACAGTTCAAAGCCAGCCCCGGCAGGAAAGTTTCTGAGACACTTTTATCTCCAAAGTTGGAAGTGAAGCTGTGGCTCATGTGGTAAGAGTGCTAACCTTGAGCAAAGGGACAGCACCCAGCCCCTGAGTTCCAGGCTCTAAACCAGCGTGCACGCACACACACTATACATATACACAAGCAAACATGTATGTGTATACATGTAAGAATGAACATGCTAGCCAGGCGCCGGTGGCTCATGCCTGTAATCCTAGCTTCTCAGGAAGCTGAGATCTGAGGATCACAGTTCAAAGCCAGCCCAGGCAGAAAAGTCCATGAGACTCTTATCTCCAATAAACCACTAGAAACTTGAAGTGGCGTTGTGGCTCAAGTGGTAGAGCGCTTACCTTGAGCTGAAGAACGCAGGAACAGTGCCCAGGTCCAGAGTTTAAGCCCCATGACTAACAAAACAGAAAAAGAATGAACATGCTCAGATTCACAGCCAGACAAGTGTTCAAAAAATGGTTATGCATGTATACACATTTGTTCATTCTAACACATGCACAAATACATGTGAACCCACCCAAGCACTGAAAAATTCATGCACAAGCTCACATAGCCAGAAAAAGAAAATCACAGGGTGCTAAGGAGATAGCACTGTAGTAAAACAGATGCCTAGCATGTATCTCCAGCACCAAATTTATCGCTAGCACACATCTGTGTGTGCATATATGTGTGTGTGTCCACAAACATGCATACAAAGGCATGTGAACACATGTAAGAGCACATGCACTTGAAAGTTTACCAGTACACAAGCACACACACCTAGGCACATGTAATAGATGTACACATCTCTAGAGTTCCATCAGAAGCATATAGCAGCCATGCTCAGGGTCAGGTGCAAAGTCAACATTTGTCTTTGTGGTTCCTAACAGGATAGAAGCCTGGATCAGAGCCACCTGCCCGTTGCCTGCTGTGGGACCCTGTGCACCTCTGCTGTGGCCATTCATCTCCCAGAGTCAATGTGAGCTTGCAAGTTAAAGAGGAGTGCTGAAACTGGGTACTAGTAGCTCACGCTTGTAATCTGAGCTACTCAAGAGGCTGAGATCTGAGGATCAAAGTTCAAAGCCAGCCTGTACAAAAAAAAAAGTCACTTTTTTGTTGTTGTTTTTGCTAGTACTGGGGCTTGAACTCAGGGCTTGGGCACATGTTGCTGAGCTTTTGCTCAAGGCCACAGCACCACTTCTGGCTTTTCCTGTTTATGTGGTACTGAGGAATCGAACCCAGGGCTTCATGCATGCTAGGCAAGTACTATACCACGAAGCCACCTTCCCAGCCCTGTGAGATTCTTGTTTCTGATTAACCACCAAAAAGCTGAGGTGGTAGAGTAGGAGCACTCTGGCCCTGAGTTCAAACCTAGAAACAACACACACTCACACACACTCACACACTCACACACACTCACACACACACAGAGGAGCAATGCTGGCAAGTGCACCATGCCTGCCTCTCCCTCTGTGCCCTCCTACTGACAGCCCCACCCCTAGGGTAGGTGGCCCACAATCCTCTTGAACATGTCTCCTGCTGTAGGGCAGGGGAAGGACTACCTGGGGCCTCTCCTGGAAAATTTTTTGGGGGGTGGAAGGGGTGCAGAGTCAGCGGTTAAGGGATTGAGGCCATGCCACCCCGATTAGAAGGTTGGAGGGGGCTGAGCTGGCTTCACCTGTCCTTGTCTCTGATTGGGTCTTGGGCACCCCCAGTTTCCAAATCCCACTAAGCAGCCCCACCAGGCCCTGCGCAGGTCTGTGGCAAGCCAGTTGATTGCCAGTCATCTTGGGCCAACAAAGGCTTCTGGGGAGGCCAGAGGCTGGCCTAAGCTAGGCTCTTGAGATCCCTTCCATCAAAAGAGGCGCCTTTTGCCTGCTGCTGTGATCATGGGGGCTGGGGCCAGTGCTGAAGAGAAGCACTCCAGGGAGCTGGAAAAGAAGCTGAAGGAGGACGCAGAGAAGGATGCTCGAACTGTGAAACTGCTGCTACTGGGTAGGGGTGTGGTCCCAGTGGGGATGGTGGGGGGCAGGGGGAGTGTCTGTAGGAGCTAGGCAGGAAGCCAGGAGGATTTGGGGAAAAAAGAGCGAGCCTGTGACAGGGTAGGGTACAGAGCCAGAGAGCCCTGACCTAGAACTGACAGGTGATGAGGTCCCAGGTTTCCCCAGGAATAATCTCCGGGGCTGGGGGCAATCTCCCCCTCCAAAGAAGTGTGTGATGAGTATACACACCTCTGTACAAGTGCCTGTTCAAGTACACTCTTGCCTTAGCTGTATTTCCTCTAGTTCTAGTCGTTGATTTGTCAGGGCTCCTGAGTAAGGCTCAGAAACTGGGGGCGGGAGGGGGGAACTTTGCTGGGAGCCCCACCTAGGGCTCCTCACTTGGAAATAAGATCATACTCCTCCTAGGAGCCTCTTGGGCCATCCAAACCCACAAACAATGGGCCTTGGGTGCTGGAACTTTATCACTGACAGAGCTGTGAAGTGGGTAAAGGAGGTGGAAAGATAGTGAGGCCTCTGGGAAATAAGCGAAGTTGAGCCTATGGTCCTATGGGAAGTCACTATCCAGCGCCTAGGAAAGAGCTACTTTCGGAGCATGGGGCAGCTTCCATTCATACTCTCCAGTCTCAGTCAAGCTTGGGTAGAAAGGGACTAAAGCCAAGCAGGAAGGCAAGAGAGGCTAAGCTGGAAATCCCATTAACTGTGCCCATTACCCTCTAACGTGCAAGTCATTTCTGTTCTCTTACACACCCAAGGGACTAATTCCCTCTAGCCTCTAGGAGACCTCCAGCCTTCAGGTGAAAAGTAAGGGGTGCTGGGTGCTGGTGGCCCCTAAAATCCCAGGAGATTTGAGAATCAAGATTCAAAGCCAGCCCTAGTGGGGAAATCAAAGAAATCCCTATCTCCCAACTAACCAGCAAAAAGCCAGAAGTGGAGGTGTGGTTCAAGTAGTAGAGTGCCAGCAAAAATAAAAAAGCTAAGCAAAAGTGCAAGACTCTGAGTACAGGCAAAACACACATGTGCACCCACAGTTTTGTTTTGTTTTGTTTGTTGCCAATCCTAGGGCTTGAATTCAGGGCCTGGCCACTGAGCTTTTTTTGCTCAAGGCTAACTACCACTTGAGCCACAGCACTGCTTGCAGCTTTTTCTGTTTATATAGTACTAAGGAATCAAACCCAGGGCTTCGTGCATGCTAGGCAAGCACTCTACCACCGAGCCACATTCCCAGCCCTGTTTTGTTTTGTTTTGTCAGTCATGGGGCTTGAACTCTGGGCCTGGCTGCTGTCCCTCAGCTCTTCAGCTCAAGGAAAGCACTCTAGCACTTGAGCCACAGTGTCACTTCTGGTTTTCTGGTGGTTTATTGGAGATCAGAGAACCCACAGACATTCCTGCCTGGGCTGGCTTGGAACCACAATCCTCAGATCTCAGCTTCCTGAATAGCTAGGGTTACAGGTGTGAGCCACCGGCACCCAGCATTGGGTTTTTGGTTCTGTCAGTCATGGGGCTTGAACTCAGGGAGAACCTGGGCATTGTTCCTGAGCTCTTTTGCTCAAGGCTAGTGCTCTACCACTTTGAGCTACAGCTCTACTTCAGGTTTTCTGATGGTGAATTAACCACCAGAAATAAGTTAAGAGTTAAGAGTCTTACAGACTTTTCTGCCCAAGCTGGCTTTGAACTGCGATCCTCAGATCTCAGCCTCCTATGTAGCTAAACTTATAGGTGTGAGCCACCTGCACTCAGCAGGTTTTCTTTTGAGCTCCATTCTGTGCATGTAATACCAAGTAGGTCCACAGAGTGGTGCTCTAGGATTTATTTTTGGTCTTGGCATATTTTATTTTATTTTATTTTATTTTATTTTATTTTATTTTTTGTTGGTCTTGGGGCTTGAACTCTGGGCCTGGGCGCTCTCCCTCAGCTCTTCAGCTCAAGGCGAGTGCTCTACCACTTGAGCCACAGCACCACTTCCAATTTTCTGGTGGTTTATTGGAGATAAGAGTCTCACAAACTTTCCTGCCTGAGCTGACTGAACCGTAATCCTCAGATCTCAGGCTCCTGAGTAGCTAGGATGACAGACATGAGCCACCAGCGCCCAGCTTGGCATACGTTTCTGATTCCCTCACGCCGCTTCTTTTTATTTCCCTAACATTTACAAACGTTTTGTTCAATAAGCATCTTACCACAAGGACCATGCTTTGGATGGGAGTAAGAGTCGGTGTCATTAGTGGTCTAGCTGGCACCCCAAGCCTCTTGGCTGCAGATCCACCTAGCCAATTCATCTTCCAGGTATCTATGGGTAGAGGGAGGTATTGAGTGCAGGCTGAGACAGACTTCCCTTTCCAGGTGCTGGTGAATCTGGGAAGAGCACCATCGTCAAGCAGATGAAGTGAGTTGTCCTTGATGTCTGGAGGCTCCCTGGGGGTGGGTGCATACAAATAGGGCTGGGGGTGGGGGTCTGGTCTTCACCTGTGGCCCATGAAGTTCTGACTTAGCTCACGTTGACGGCAGGATTATCCATCAGGACGGGTACTCACTGGAAGAGTGCCTCGAGTTCATTGCCATCATTTATGGCAACACACTGCAATCCATTCTGGCCATCGTGCGAGCCATGACCACACTCAACATCCAGTATGGAGACTCGGCTCGCCAGGTGTGCCAGGCGGCGGGTTCATGGGGGCCCAGAGGGAAGAGCATAAAGTACTTGGCTGGGCCCAGATCCATGGTTCACTACCTACCGCTCCCCCCACCCCCGCTTCCTCCAGGACGATGCACGGAAGTTGATGCACATGGCAGACACTATTGAGGAGGGCACCATGCCCAAGGAGATGTCAGACATCATCCAGCGGCTGTGGAAGGACTCGGGGATCCAGGCCTGCTTTGATCGTGCCTCGGAGTACCAGCTCAATGACTCAGCTGGCTAGTGAGCATTGGGGCAGAACGTGGGAAATCTGGTGGAGTCCTATTGTGCCCTTCCTAGCTACTTATTCACCACGCCCCGGGGTCTTCTTCCTCAGCTACCTCTCAGACCTGGAGCGCCTGGTAACCCCAGGCTATGTACCCACTGAGCAAGATGTGCTACGCTCACGTGTGAAGACCACTGGCATCATTGAGACACAGTTCTCCTTCAAAGACCTTCACTTCAGGTAAGAGGTTCCCCCCCTCCACACACACACACACACACACACACACACACTCAACAGAGCGATTCACTGTTCCAAGACCTGGTCCCTAACTCTGCCAACATCAACAACACAAAAAGGCCTAATCCTTCAAGATGCCAGTCCCATTTGATATTCTCCAGCCAGGGTAGGTAAGGGGATAGCAGTGGGCATGCACAGGGACTCAGAGGTGCAGGTTCAAATCCCCACCACCTGCAGGATGTTCGATGTCGGAGGACAGCGCTCTGAACGCAAGAAGTGGATCCACTGTTTCGAGGGGGTGACTTGCATTATCTTTATTGCGGCCCTGAGCGCCTACGACATGGTGCTGGTGGAGGATGACGAAGTGGTGAGTGCCAAGCAGGGACTGCGGGCTTCAAGGGGGAGGAGGAGTTGTGGGAGAGTCTGAAATGGGAGAGTTGTTCCAGAGAAATCTATAAAAAGCAAGCTAAAGCTGTGTTGGCCACTAGTGGCTCATTCCTATAATCCTTGCTATTTAGGAGGCTGAGATCTGAAGATTGTGGTTTAAAGCCAGCCTGGGCAGGAAAATCCCTGAGACTCTTGTTTTTGTTTTTATTTTTGCTTTTGTTTTGACCAGTGGGGTCTGAACTCTGGGCCTGGGCGCTGTCCCTCAGCTCTTCAGCTCAAGGCGAGCGCTCTACCACTTGAGCCACAGCGCCACTTCTGGCTTTTTTTCTGCTGCTGTGGTGCTGAGGAATTGAACCCAGGGCCTCATGCATACAAGGCAATTACTCTACCACTGAGCAACCCCTGAGACCCTTATCTCCTATTAAGTGCCAAAAAAAAAAAAAAAACTCTGGCTCAAGTAATAGAGCACTGGCCTTGAAAGAAAAAAAAAAAAAAGCTAAGGGACAACCAGGCACTGGCGGATCAAGCCTGGGCCCTAGCTACTTAGGAAGCTGAACTCTTGGGGTCAAGGTTCAAAGCCAGACTGGGCACGAAACTATGCAAGACTCTTATTTTCAATTAACCACCAACAAGCCAAATATGGAGCTGTGGCTCAGGTGGTAGAGCGCTAGCCTTGAGAGAAAAAGCTCAAGCCGGGCACTGGTGGCTCACTCCTGTAATCCTAGCTACTCAGGAGGCTGAGATCTGAGGATGGAGGTTCAAAGCCAGCCCAGGCAGGAAAGTCCATGAGACTCTTATCTCCAATGAACCACCAGAAAACCAGAAGTGGCACTGTGGCTCAAGTGGTAGAGCACTAGCCTGGAGTTGAAAAGCTAATGGGCAATGCCCAGGCCCAGAATTCAAGCCTCATGACGGACCAAAAAGAAAGAAAGAACGAAAGAACGAAAGGAAGGAAGGAAGGAAGGAAAGAAGAGCTCAAGGACAATGCACAAGCCCTGAGTTCAAACCTCAGGATCAGAAAAAAGAAAAAATACAAGCAGATAGCTCACAGTGCCAAGGGAGAGCAGGCATGAGTTCAAGGTCTCTGGGAGTAGTTAGGGAGGGAGGCTCTGGGGCATGAGCAGCTTGGAGGTGGCTGGCTGTATTCCCCAGTACCCCATAACCGCTGTCTTCCCCAGAATCGCATGCACGAGAGCCTGCACCTGTTCAACAGCATCTGCAACCACCGCTACTTCGCCACCACCTCCATTGTGCTCTTCCTCAACAAGAAGGACGTTTTCTCTGAGAAGATCAAAAAGGCACACCTTAGCATCTGCTTCCCGGATTATGACGGTAAGAGTCCCTGACCACCTACGGGAGCCCCAGACCACCATCAAAATGGGCCAATGGGCTGCGGATGGCCTGGACTAAGGGAGTGCTTTCTGCTCCCCTCTGCTGCAGGCCCTAACACCTATGAAGATGCTGGCAACTACATCAAGGTGCAGTTCCTCGAGCTCAACATGCGGCGTGATGTGAAGGAGATCTATTCCCACATGACATGCGCCACCGACACACAGAACGTCAAGTTTGTCTTTGACGCTGTCACCGACATTATCATAAAGGAGAACCTCAAAGACTGCGGCCTCTTTTGAGGTGGGGGTCCTTGCTAGCCAGATATTCCCCTCTCCTCCTCCTGAATTCAAGACCCTAACCTGGCTTTCAACTCCTTACCCCCCACCCCAACCCCTTTCTTTTTTTCTTTTTTGGTCTGAGACTCAGATTCGAACTTGGTATATATGATGCTTCCCGTCATTGGCTAGCGCTCTACCAACTGAACCCTGCCTCCAACCGCCTCATCCCCACCCCCTTCGCCCCCCACTGCAGGCTAAACTTCACCCCCTGGGGCTCTAAACTGGGTTCCACCCAATGTCACAGGCCTCCTCTCTCAGCTAAGAAGTCTCAGCCATTCAAGCTCTTTTGGTCCACCCCCTCCAAGCCCCCAGTGTCACAGCTGCATTCATTCAATGTATAAACCTATTAACTTAGAGTCTCAGAGATGCCATTTCTTCTCTTTCCCCTTTTCTCTCTTTACAGGTGCCTCAACCCTTGTGTCTCCCTTGCCCTGAAACCCTATTAGTGGTAGCCCTGCGGCTCTCCTAGGCACAGATCCAAAGCCCTTGAGACTTGAGGCACAGACCCTCCCCCATGCCCCAACCCCAGACCTGGCCCTCCCCCGCCTGGTTGCACTGGCCTCTTGGACCCGGCTAGGACAGGGTAGGAGCTCGGGGCAGCTGGAGTGACTCAGCAGGCCCCAAGTGACCAATCTCCTTCAGTTCTCTTGTCCCCAGGAGCCACAGCTCAACTGGTGGGTCTGGGTTCACCAATCAGCCCTTCCCTCCCAGGGTTTCGTGAAGGACTCTAGCCTATGTCTCTCCGCCCCAGCAGGCTTGTTGCTTTGGCCAGCAGTCCAGCCCACTTGGCACCTCCATGTGACAAGTCCCACACACCTACCAAGTGACTGGGGACTGTCTGCTCCCTTCCTAGAAACTTCAGGAATGAAGTACAAACTAGTCCTAGGCTGTGACACCTCCAGCATCGATTAGTTAGTGACAAGCGTGGAGTGATAGACGTAGGTACCAGGGAGAAGTATAAACTGAGCCCTCCCTCAAATACCGGGGGGGGGGGGAGCACTCCAGCCCCTCCCCCCTCTGGATCTCCCCTCTCTGTACTTAGACACTAGATCTACACCCCACTTTGCCCACCCACACAGTATTCATAGCTCACGAGCCCTGGGGACAACATATTAAGGGAGGGTAGTGTTGACATGGGCTATGGCCAATAATCAGGCTGTCCTGAGGGGTGGCTGGGGGGCAGAGTCCAGCATTTATTGATCAGCCCCAGGCAGAGGATTCTGGATAGGGTAGAAGCCTAGGTTGTGCCCCAAATCCAGGTGACCCAGCTGTCCCTTAGCCTTGCCCTCAGGGCTGATTCCTTGGGAGGAAGAAGCCAGCGGCCTGCTTGAATCATCAGAGACGCTGGTCTGTGTTTGTACACTCCTTGCTGTCCGCTTTCTCATGAAACCCCAAATCTTTGCTTATGCCGTTGGCCTGCGTTACAGCCCAGGACAAGGAACTTCTGTCTGGTGAGGCCAAGACATAATCGTCACTTTCCTTAGCTACCTGCACAGACTCAGCAATAAAAACAAGAAAAAAAAAAAAACACTTTTGCCACCAGGCCCTGCTGTTTTGTTCTTGAGTGGGTGGGCTGGACTTAATTATCATGAGTCCTGGGCTTTTATCAAATGCTGGACAAGAAGAGGCTCCTTCCAGGCAAAATTTCTAATCCCATCTGTACTAGTGGCTCATGCCTGTTATCCTAGCTACTCTAAGGATCTCAGTTCAAAATCAGCCAAGGCAAGGAAGTCTGTGAGACTCTTATCTCCAGTTAAATACCAATTAAAAAATAAAAGCCAGAAGCTGGGCACTGGTAGCTCACGACTGTAATCCTAACTACTTAGGAGGCTGAGATCTGAAGATCAGGGTTCAAAGCCAGCCCAGGCAAGAAAGTCCTTGAGTGTCCTGTCTCCAATAAACCACCAGAAAACCGGAAGTGACGCTGTGGCTCAAGCAGTAGAGCGCTCGCCTTGAGCTGAAGAGCACAGGGACAGCACCCAGGCCCAGAGTTCAAGCCCCAGGACCGACAAAAAAAAAAAAAAGCCAGAAGTGGAGATGTGGTTCAAAGTAGTAGAGTGCTAATCTGGAACAAAATAGCTCAAGGACAGCACCCAGGCCCTGAATTCAAGCTCCAGGACTGGGGAAATAATAATAATAATAACAATAATAACAATAAATGTATCAGGATTAAAGCATAGGAGCATCTACTACATTCCAGGGTAAGATAGTTCTTGGGAAATACATATCTGAGCATTAGCCTTTTCTGTTAGGAATGGCCTAATCTAGCTTTTTTTTTTTTTTAACCAGTCCTGGGGCTTGAACTCAGGGTCTAGGCACTGTCTCTGAGCTGCTTTTGCTCAAGGCTAGCACTCTACCACTTGAGCCACAGCACCACTTTTAGTTTTTTCTGTTTATGTGTACTGAGGAACCCAGGTCTTCATGCGTGCTAGGCAAGCACTCTACCACTAAGCCACATTCCTAGCCCTGATCTAGCATTTTTGTGGTTAAACTTCTATTTATGTTTTGTTTTATTTTTTTTTCAAGTCCTGGGGGTTGAACTCAGGGCCTGGTGCTATCCCTGAGCTGTCCTCTCCTTCAAGACTAGCACTTTACCACTTGAGCCACAGCTCCACTTCTGGCATTTTGGTGATTAGTTGGAGATAAAAGTATTTCCTGCCTGAGCTTGCCTTCAAACGGTGATCCTCAGATCTCAGCTTCCTGCATGGCTAGGATTATAGGTGTGAGCCACAGTGCCTGATCTAATTTTATTTCCTTGTCTTTAATGGAGACAGAAATCTTCAATCACAATGTTGAAATCTGCTTCAGGGGAAAAATTGTCATTACAGCTTTCCATAAAAAGCATGTTATAAAGGTGAGCACATCCCCCACCCCCACTCCCAGGGACCAGTATGGATATGGAAAAAAGGATGAGTCTTAGAAACCCAGGAGGCTGAGCAGGGCACAGGTGGCTCATACCTGTAATCCTAGCTATTCAGGAAGTTGAGATCTGAGGATTGCAGCTCAAAGCCAGCCTGGGCATGACAATCTGTAAGACTCTTATTTCTAAGTAATCTCCAGAAAACCGGAAGTGTCTCGAGTGGTGGAGTGCTCACTTTGAGCTGAAGAGCTCAGGGACAGAGCCCAGGACCAGAGTTCAAGCCCCATAACTGACAAGAAAAAAAAAACCTCATGAGGCTGTGGCTTATTTCCTCAACACCAGAGCCTTCAACGTGAGGAGCTCCGGGTCAGAGTTCTGGGTTTATGCTGTTGACCAAGTACCTGCTTGGACCAGACCAGAAATATTGAATGGGCCGAGTCCATAGGAATTGTGGCTACGGGGGAAAGGTCCAAGCCCTGAGCCTGAGCACAGGAGAAACTTTGAATGGCTCAGGGAGCCCAGGACATTCATGGCCTGACATGGTGGTTGATATTTAGAAGCCTTAGGCCCAAGCCAGTGAGACAAGACCCAGCGAGATGGTTGGGGGATGATTGAGCTGAGTCTGTTCTCCACTGAGGATCCTCTCTCCCCCAGCAGCCTATTGGATAAGATGGCATAGTAAAGCTAAGCAACAGTGGCTCACACCTATAATCCTAGCTACTCGGGAGGTTGAGATCTGAGGATCACTGTTCAAAACCAACAGGGGCAGGAAAATCCAAAAGACTCATAACTCCAATTAAGTACCAAAAAGCCAGAAGTGGAGCTATGGCTCAAGTGGTATAATACTAGCAAAAACAAACAAACAAAAGGACTTAACTTTCAAGTCCTAGCACTGTCACACACACGCACACACACACACACACA